TTGCCATCCTTCATTACGAAATGATTTAACTATACAATCCCATACATTTTTATAAACATGATCTCTTGATGCTTGATATCGACTTTTAATAACATCTAACGGATAAGATACAGTCCAAGCAGCTATACCAGTAAAAGCACCTCCTGTTAAACTCATATGCATAGACATATCAGCTTCTTTACCAGTTGGTGAAAAATGTGAAACAAAAAATTGCCATGCTGGAAAATAAACAGCAAATGATGGTATATCACGTGCAAATGTCATTGATAAACCGCGCATAACACCATATCGAAAACCTTGTCTCGTATAAGACTTTTTTAGACAATCAATAGGACCTTTATATAGATGTGTGGATAATGCAAATAATTTTCGTTGCTGTCCAATACCTTGCATTTGTAAACGTGTTTTAACAAGTTCAATAGGTGAACAAATAGTTGCTTGTACACCACCAGCAATAGCACCTGTTATTGATAAAGCTAAATATGTATCTGGATTATCAAATAAACCTTTTGCAAGATTTTGAACAGAAAAAACAATTCCATTTATAATTGCAACACCAAACATCGGTGATGACATGCCTTTATAAAAACCTAATATTGATTCTTGTTTTGCTATTTTAATAAAACAATCTAATGAACCAGAATATAATCGATGATTTAATGTTTGTGTTTGAAGACGAACTTTAACTGTATCAAATGGATAACCAGCAATTGTGCCGGTTACTCCAGCAATAAAGCCAAAACCAAAATCTAATGCCATTGATTATTATGATGCTGAAATGAAAGAAGAAAAAAAAATGGCAAAGAAACACAACGATCAATACATTTGTATAATATAAAATTGACCTGATGCAATGTCAAAACAAAAATCGACCAATGATTTTTTGTGAAATAAATTGAGATGATGCAAGTCAACACAAATATACTAGTCATCAATGAGGACGTACAGTTTTTGCGTTCGCTCTTATTTTCCTTCGTTCCACGTGCCTATTGACATAGTACAAAAAGTACAAAAGGGTTTTATTATTGCTAGATATGTTTCCTTTCTTTTTTTCTTTTCGTAACACCATGCTTTCTATTAAACCGACTTTTGTCCTTGTTATTTGATTGCTCTTTAGACTCTACCGAAAAAGCAGAATAACAAAATTGATATGCAAAAAAGAAAAAAAACTAAAATATCGGAACCTTATTTTTTTTAATATTGTTCGATGAGAAGATTTGCAATCGATCAAATTCTATTTACTTAAATCCATATGGGTGAGGGCAAAAAATAACCTTTTCGATTTCTATGACATGAAGAGGAATGATGAAAAATGTTTTTTTTCCAGACATTGAAAATATAATGATGCATATTCAAACATATGATCATGTAAAAGATATTAGCATGACCATAGACTAGTAAACATGTTTTTTTATACTAAAAATCAGATTTTTCAGTGATAACTTCGCTGTTATTCAACAGCGAATAATTTTTTGTATGCTTATATTCGAAAGTTAATGATTAGTAACTTTTTGATACAATCAGCACGAGAAAGAAAAGAAAAATCGACTTAAACACAATTTCTGGATACTAAATCATTTTAATATGCTTTGTATTTATGTTACACAGCTATAGTTTCTCAATGCTTTATTGTATATTACATAAAATACATGTTGTGCAGTTCGATTTCTGTTCAAATCAATCATAAAATTCATTTGACTCTAGAGATGTGCAAAGTCGCTTTAAGTAGAATGGTAAGAATAAAAAAAATTTTCTCAAGCAGGGTATTGAGTACGAAAAAAGCTTACCTTGCACATCTTTATTTTGTTCGTCGATAAAGTACATCATGAAAAGTGTGATTTTAGATTTTCTTTAAAAGAAAAACATACGCCTACTAGGTAAGAATGCAATGTAATGATGAGTGATCATCAATACACTATACATTGGTCAAGACATTTCATGGTTGACTAATGGTGAAGAATGTACTTATGGCACTATTCAGCTCTCTGAGCATAAATTCATCTGATTCATGCAACGAAACTGGTTTCACCCTAGTTTTCTTATGCATGTTTGATCTTAATGTTGATGATTGAGAGCACAATCTTATACTGGTGGACGATAGTACGATGCATAATTCGTGTGACACCTGTAATACAAGATGTTAAACGAAGAATTAAAATTAAGATATGGTCATTACTATACAAGTGTTTGTCACACAATATATAAGTCGATTGAAATAAAAAAACAAATGAAGGAATTAAATCTAAATCATTTATAATCACATCGCGATAGAGTGGCAAGCGTTCTATAAACAGAATTATTTATATTTTGTTGTCTTGATCTTTATAATAAAATATAAAACTTTCTTTTCCTTTACTCATATCACGAAAAAAAACGACATTTTCTTGTTATTTATCTCTTATAACTCATTGATGAAATGAACTATATAGTTGAAATTTTCAATCCATGTCGAATAATTACAAAGAAATAATATGTGAAAAGCATAATTCAAATCAGTTGTCAAACGTAAATATGATTGGTTAACTAGACCTGAAATTTTACCTTCTACTAGAAAATTGTAATTCACTCTTATATGTTTAATATAAATGAATATACATTTTTCTCTCATTCGAGCACTAGATAACTAATTCATAACAACATCTTGATGATCAATGAATCGCTTCGAATCAATGAAACTGAAAAGCAGATCACGAGCAACTAACACTAATGTGCAGTCAAAAAAATATTATCATCGAAAATTTGTATGCTAGGTGATTCTTTTTCTTTGTAATTCAAATAATTTGTTCATTTATATAGATGTTTACTTATAATAACCTCTAACTACTAAATTCATTATAGTCCTCTTCTATATGTATGTCATTGTTAAAAAGAAAAGAGATCAAACAGTAGAATAATCATATAATATTTCATGCTCGATTGTATGTGTTGATTCATAAAACATTCACATGTTGCATGATATTTGATTTTTTTTCTTTATTACATATCGCGCGATCGTAATTTCATTTTTACAATCTTTCACTTTCTCTTTTTATTCATTACATTTATAGTTTCAATTTGCAGATATATTCTACATAGTATTTAGATATTTATTTAGAAATATTCATACTAGTTAGGTTTTATCATAGATGCAAACGTAACTACTAAATGATACATAATTACAAAGAAAATACATAACTACATTCGTTAAAGCTGATATGATAAATCTTATTGAATAAATCAAGATGACTATCCAATGTTATTTACCCTTTCACCAACGAAGTTACAACTTAATAGTATAAGAGCATGGTAATCTGACATAGAGGGCACTAGTAATAATTCTGCATATTTACATCAAGGTCTAAGTATAAAAATAATAATCTTCGATAGTTTTCAAAATATGTCATGTTGACAATAAAATATTATTTCTTTTCTTTTATAAAAATAATCCACCGTCAAAGAGCTAATTAATTATCGATTAGAAAATCTAATTAATTGGAGTATAAAAAAATAAAGAATCAGTACGTTATACCTTTTCCTTTGTGTTTTGAACGATAAATAATCATTGTCAAATGAAATACTTAAACTAAAAATTAGTCGAACATTTACACATACACTATCATCTCATCACCGTTCACTTTCCACTTATCATATATGTGGATAAAAAACAAAGTGAGAAAGCAAATGTTATATATTGGACCGAGATAACGAACACTACGCATGAATGATCATTGGTATCAAAAGATATTGGATATAAAGGTTGTCTAATAAATTTTTATTCTCTTCAAGTAATATTCTTTTCAGTATAATTAGCTAATAATATATAGCATAAACATACTAGACACCTAGATCTACTCGATGATTTCTACTTATATTCACAGAGATACAAATAACATAACATTCATAGAATTTTTTGACTTATGTTTACAAACATCATGCATGAAAAAATTGTAGTTACTCAATTAATCTCTCATAACGAGTACCTTTTAGTTTTCTGCGTTGTGTTATTCGTCATTATCTTAAAAATAGTAACTTGGTACCGATTTATTCAAGATGATCAGAATAGCAAACATCGAACAACAATCATAATGAATAATATTGAATCTTTATTTAGCAATTCTATTGATCTTAAAAGTTAGTGATGCAGAATTTTCTGATGTTTGTCTAATTGAATCAATTTGAGGTACAGTTAAGAAAAAATTGAAAGGCAAAAATTTTCAGAATGAATCAGAGATTGAAATATTGAGTAGTGCAAGAATAAAAGATGTTTATCGCAGCTAATAGCGGAAAAATTACTGATTTGATTGAAACATGTGACAGATCAAGATGAAGAGCAGATACATAAGCAGTGTCGCACTTTTTGTTCTTATTTTAGTTAAAGAGTTTCGATTGATAAATCCCATTGAAACCACTGGTTTTTAGTTAACATCCTCAATAGAACACCAGAAAAGTTCTAACAAATAATTCAAAAAAAAATTTCTATGAATTACATATTAGTTGTATTTCTGAGAATATAGGAGGTAGACAGCATATATTAGATTTAGATGTCTAATATATAGTCTGTAGATATTAGCTTATTCTTTGAAAAGAAACATAAGAAGAAAATTTACTTAAAGAAAATCAAAACTTTTTAGACAATCTTTTTTTTTTGGTATTAGGAAGATCGAGACTATTGTTGATTTTAGTTTTTGTATTATTTTATAAAGATATTCAATGTGTTATGATCTTTTTATTTCTATGTTCTAATTCAAAACTCATATAAACTAAACGTTTACGAGATAAAATTTCAATTTATTTCAAATGTAATTGTCAATTGACTATGATTAAAAAGCTCTCAAGTTCAATATGAAGAAAAAAAAATATATACGCACTGTACCACGCATACACCTCCGCTTTCGGAAATAGAAATTATTAATTTTTCTTTAACGATCAAACGACAACGATGACGAAGAAAAAAATATTTATATTTTTCCATTCGAACAATAAATATTTGCCGATTGAAGAACCTTGAGATAAGCATTCAAATGTCAAATTCAAACTTCGATTTTACAATTAAGGTAGGCATAATCATAAGATGTCATTTTTATTATTTACAATTAATGATAGTTTTTTCGTCCAACAAAACGTCCTGTTTTTACTCATAATGGTCTTTTGGATAGTCGTACTAAACGTATAATAGCTCAAGATCGTCTTATTGTAGCTGAACAACGAATTCTTAATGTTGAAAAACAAAAATCAGCTAGTAACCTTCAATTATTAGCATTTGAACAAAAACAAGTAGAAAAAAGATTATTATCTATTCAGAATTCTAATCAATCTGTACAATTTCGCCAACGTTCAATCAGTGAAGGTAATCTTCAGAATATTCATCAAACTACTTCTTGGAATGATACATTTGATATGAATAAATCAAAATTACATACAACTAGAAACTCAAATGTTTCATTTCTACCACAAACTAACAATATTCCACGAAGCTTTTCAGTACATTCTGATAGAGTTACATTAGAAAATCAAGTCTCGGCAAGTGATACAGAAAGTAATGAAGAAGAAGAAGAAGAAGAAGAAAGTAATTCAAAATTAAGTAAAAAGGAAACAATTCAACTACCTGTAATCACTATTATTCCACCGGAAGACGACGTCTTATTTTTTGTTCAATAAAGTATTTATCTTTGTTTTAAAGTTAATCACAAAAAATATTCTTTGGTTTTTTTTCAATCTATTAAATATAAATAAACATGAATGACTAATAAAATCACACCTTTTTCTTTTTGTTCTATTTAAGAATTATTGATTTTTATTACAGGACAAATAGAAACCCGGAATTTAAATTAAGCCGTTGATTTGATCTATTGGTAGTATATATATAACGTAGTTTAATTATACCATAACAGAGCTATATGCACAAGGAGTCAAGTATCTTTCTTACAGGAAAGGTCTTCTGATTGATATATCGCTTTTAAGTTGAAACTATTTGTATCATCGAGACTTTAATAGAAGGTCTCTGACAGCACCAAGGAACCGAAGCACTCGTCAATATTTAAATTTTTGATTTTTTATGTGCATTCGAAAGGACAATGTCTGAAACTAATAATCCTAAATTTTTAGCTCATTTGGCCTTTTTATAGTAAAGTTAGTCTGGATCGACTTTAGAATCGTCTACCTAGTATCAAGAATAACAATGATAAATCATGTCATTAATGTTTGATAGTATTACACTACTAAGAATAAGAGAATTTTTTCATGTTATATACCAAATGATAGGGTATGGATAGATGAAAAAAATGAGCTATATGAAATATTGTATATCATTCCTTTACTGGGCTAACATGAATGAAAAACGGTAACG